CACACACACACACACACACTCACACACACATACACGCGCGCGCGCTCGCATGCACATACACACATCTACACATACATACAAATATACTTACATATATATACACACACACGCGCATGCACACACACACATACGGACACGCACACATACATACACATACACACGCACAAACGCATACGTACACGCACACACATACATACACTCTGAGATCGATACCCACTCCAACGCATGCACACGCACACATACGCACAAACACACACACACATACATACTGTGCATGCCCACCCTTACACCCAAGCATCCCCACCCATGCGAGCACAGGGTATGTGCAGGGACCTGACGATCAGGTTTTGGTGGTGGCCGGATCTACCGAAACATGAAACGGCTATGCTGATCACCCCCCCCCCCCCAGATTAAAAACACAACAAGGAGAAACAGAAACAAAACCAAACTGGTGATAATATTATACTCGTTTTTGTTCTACACCTCAATGGAAGCTCTTATACTCTGTAGAAGCTTAAGTTCTACATATTTCAGGAGGAAGGCGGATTCAGTTATGTCAGACAGGACCAACCCACAATGTCAGTGAGAAACATCCCAGCAGCGGAAACACACACACACACACACACACACACACACACACACACACACACACACCTAAACACATAATCACACACACAGACAAATATTGGAATATCAGTTACAAACAATATCTGATCAAGTCTAGCACAAACTGGCCGAGTGTGATCTCCCAAAAACTATTCCGATGTTACATCATTAAAACACAGTGATTTCTAGTTTTTCCTCCACCTCCTCATGGCCTGATGTTCTTTGTCTCTGTCGCACTTGTACATCAACATTGAACAATAAAAGAGATTCTCTCCCCTCTATATCATGCATCGGCAAGCTGTCAACAAGGATTAAATCCAGAAAGTAAAATTTTACAGGAGAGAAAAAAGTACCTACATTATGTATAATTTTTTCTAGCTTTTTTTAACACTTAGAACTAGAATTTCGACAAATTATTTCTTGAGCACATATGCAACCGATACCATAGATTAAGAAACTACAATTACTTTAAAATGAAAATTTTGAGCTTAGCACATTTAAATAGCTGGACGGGGATATATGATAAGATAAGATAAGTCTTTATTGTCCATATCCTGGCATATTGGTTTGGTGTTTCACAATGTACATATAAACACAACTTTTTCCCAATAACCCCTGTGACTATCAAAGGCCACCTGGAGCACAAAGATCATTCTTTCTTCTTTCCTACCCTTAATAAGAATGGCAGAATATATGTAGAGAGTTTCACTGTTCCTTAATTAGGAAAGGAGCAATGTTGACCACCCAGTCACTCCTTTAATTAAAGCAACAACTGTATACGTGGAACATACCAAGAGCTTGAATTTAATTGACTTAGGCATTAGACATAAAAAGAAGGGTAATTATTATATTCCTTCATGTTCGAGTAGTTTACATAGGACATGAGATGGCTCTTCTTATAGCAGATCCTTGCTTCAAATTATTTTCAGTCATGTAACATAGTTCTGCCAAAGGAACAGCTTTGTTCTTACATAACAGAACACCATCTCCCTTCTCTCTTCATTCACGGTACACACAAATATATTCTCATCTCTTCTCTCTCCCCCTCCTTCTTTCTTTCTCTCTCTCTCTCTCTCTCTCTCTC